TTCTTCCCTATCTCCCTTCTAGCCTGAGCTGCTTTAAGAGATAAAGCGGGTGGAGAAGGACGCATTGGCTGCGCCATGCAAAATGCACCCCCAGTACCTGCAACAACCCATGTTCCCTTCTCCCAGGAAAGGCATCACCAACATTATGGCCATTATGTATGGCTGTAACCCCACTTCCCCTCTACCAAATGACTCAGAGTTTGCCAACCAACCACTGCACAGAAAATAACACCCATAACGTGAGGCAGCACGAAAATAAGGCTTTTGAAAGCACCTAAAAACCAGGCAGGCTTGCTCAAGGCAAGACCCACTCAGACTGTCCTGCACCAGCTTAGCCCCTCTGGAGGCTGGCAAAGCCCAGGCATACCCAGTAACAAACTGGTGCCCAGCACCCACTTATCTATAACCTGAACCCACGCGTGCTCCTGCCGTATTCCCAGCTCTGAGGGCTTTATTTGTGCAAGGTGAGGGAGGAAAGCACAAGGGAGGACAACTCTGGCTGTGTCTGACTCCCCATGGCTCCCAGAGTTGCCAAAGCCAGGCAGGAAGTTCTGGGTGGGCATGGAGGGACTTCAAAGGCAGGGACAGGGTGTTATTGTCCATAGCATACACACTGCAGTGATCAAAAAGCATCTTCTGTTCCACAAAGCAAACTGCCACATTCAGCCTCAAAGACTGGCTCACACCTCAGCAAACAGGACCAGAAATGCTGGTTTGCCCTAAAACCCCAACTGGAAACAATTCCCAGATTCAAACAAGGGCTTGTGCTTGTAATTCCTCCACTGCATGGCCTTGCCTCCCCACCTGAAAGGTGTCAGATGAGAACCAGGAGCTCCCTGCTCCCTGTTTAGGTGCTGGAAAATCCTCTGTGAAACCTGGGGCTAATCGGGTGCGGTGCTTAAGCTGTAATCATCTCAGGGGCCAGGGTGGGGAGGGAGGCTCTGCAGATGGCAGAGCACAGGTCCCGAAGCAGAGTGTGCCATTACTGTGCTCCTTACAACACCTAAAACTAAATCCTGCATGGTAGAGCATGGCAGATGTCCCAGAAACATCCCCTCTCAGTGCAAGTGACAGCAGGGATTGTCAAATCTGACAGCTGCCCCTCTGACTAAAGCCCCTTTTCCCCCCATGCTCCATCCAGCAACAACTCAGTTCACGCCACAGAACCCTCCCTGAACTCTTCCCACCTTCCCTGTGTGGTTTTGCCAACAACAACCACGTTTCACAGGGCTGGGCCACTTGAATCCGTGGTCTCATCACTGCCTGTGGGCTGCCAAACCCCATGGGCTGGCACCAGCTTGGGGAAGAAGAGCCTGTGCTAGTCTCTGCTCTTCCAATGTCTTTATCTACAACAGGAATAAACCCTCCACAGACCTGGAAACATGACAGGAGCCTTCTCTGCAGAAAGGGTGACAAAAGTGGGATTTGTTTGTACTTTTTGGGGGAGGAAATCAACTTGGACACCGAAGCAGAGAGCAGTGTAGCAACTTCCCTGTGCTGACACGGAACGGCAGCAGGGGAAGCTCAATTCCTCTTTCCTGGCCTTAAAAGGAAAGAAAGTGTTGCTTTCACTAAGTAATAATTGTGTGTTTTGAATCTCAGAGCCAAGATCCAGCAACTGTTTCTCTCAGCCCAGAAAGCCAACCGTATCCTGGGCTGTATCAAAAGGAGTGTGACTAGCAGATCGAAGGAGGTGATCCTGCCCCTCTGCTCTTGTGAGACCTCACTTGGAGCATTGTGTGCAGTTCTGGTGCCCTCAACATAAAAAGGACATGGAACTGTTGGAACAAGTCCAGAGGAAGGTCACGAGGATGATCAGGGGACTGGAGCACCTCCCGTATGAAGACAGGCTGAGAAAGTTGGGGCTGTTCAGCCTGGGGAAGAGAAGCTGCGTGGAGACCTCATAGCAGCCTTCCAGTATCTGAAGGGGGCTTATAAGGATGCTGGGGAGGGACTCTTCATTAGGGTCTGTAGTGACAGGACAAGGGGCAACAGGTTAAAACTTAAACAGGGGAAGTTTAGATTAGATATAAGGAATAAGTTATTTACTGTAAAGGTGGAGAGGCACTGGAATGGGTTGCCCAGGGAAGTTGTGAATGCTCTATCCCTGGCAGTGTTCAAGGCCAGGCTGGACAGAGCCTTGAGTGACATGATTTAGAGTGAGGTGTTCCTGCCCATGGCAGGGGGGTTTGGAACTAGATGATCTTAAGGTCCTTTCCAACCCTAACTATTCTATGATTCTATTCTATGATTCTATAACTCTCACCACAAGCTGGGCCGAGGCAGGACTCAGAATGTTGCTCTGCAACCCCCTGGCAGCTCAAGACACTTCCCCTGCCCTGTTTTAGGGGACAGTGACAGGAAACACTCCCCCACTCCAGCGTAACATGACATATGAAATCAACAGAACAGAACAGAAATCAGTAGAACATGCATTGAGAAAGAAAACCACCACCTTTCCTATTGCTCAGTCTTTTCTCTCCTAAGTGGCTCCCCCCCCATTAGGTTTTGAGGAAACAGGAGCTTTGCCAGAGCACTTGGAAGGTTCACTGCCTTGTGCTTGTGATCACTGTGCCTGTCAGCCACACTTCCAACATTATTTCCTGAGTGATCCAAACTCTCTCTTTGTTACTGGGACACTTCCCCAGCTGCCCAGTTAGCTTGTTGCACGTCCATGCTTGCCCTAGTTCGGGCAGGAAACTGCATTTTAACTCCTTGAGGTTGCAGGTGTGATACTGGCCCAAGAACAGACCTTTTCCTGGCAAAGTACAGGTTGAACCTCTGGACTGGGAAATAACAGTAATTAAGCACTGTGTCTCCTCTCTGCTTGGCTCTGCTTTTCACAAACCTAACCATGTCAGAGGGAAAGAGAATAAAAATCTCCCCAGGAACAGCTATACCTATTAGCCTGAGACACAGTGCCACACTTGGGAGGCAAATACACCATAACCAGGCACCTGTGCTGTCATAAAGAAATCCTCTGTGATATTTCTTGAGTGACCTTTTATTCACTTCAGTTACCAGGCAGGCGAGATTGCCTCTGGAGAGCTGCCGATGGAGGAAGAAGAGCTGTCCAAGGCGACAGCCTCTGTGCCACAACGCTGGGAATGCGGCTGCTGGGGCACAAGGCGAGCAGGAAGAGGAGCATGGTGAGGCCCAGGGGCATGAAGTGCAAGATGCAAACCCTCTGGAAACATGATGTGGCATAAGCCACACATCGACATGCCCTGCTGCATGTAAAGCCAGCAGGAACAAGAAGGAAACCAATAGGCATGGGGAGGCAGCTCCGTGTCTTATCAAATAAAGCAGCAAGTAAATGGGTGCCTGTTGGGGATTTCAGATCTTTACTACCTAGATAAAGCCCTTCCTTGCTATGTCCACTCACAACCAGCCTAATTGCTGCTAACTCAGTATTTCATATCCTGCTCCTCAAACCACAAGACAACATTAGCTGAGCTTTGCAAAACCCTGAGCTGTTTTCAGGATGAGGCCAGAATGGGTGCGCAGGAGCCTGGGCTTCTTCCAGGGCAGCCTCAGGCTCCGGGGAGCGCGATAACACACCCAGCGTGTCACTGTGGTGCTGGAAATGCCAGGAGGGGATTGTGCTGGGGACCAGGGGGCACGTGAGACACACCCTAACACAAGGACAACAAGAGCTGCGGATTAGGCTCATTCCTGACAAAGGAAGAGGCACTCGCGGCCCCGTCCCGGCTGCCCCCGGACACGGCGCTGCCCGTTCCCCATCCACGCCACTGCCGAACCCGACCCCACTCGGCTCCAGACACGCTCCCACAACTGGCGTGAATGAGAGCCAACGGATCCACCCCCCCGGGCAGATTGACGGGCAGCTAAACCAATCGTAGAGCGGGACGCTGCCTCGCAGCCAATCAGCACGTCCGCAGGGCGGGCCGCCGCTCACTTCCCTGCCACCGCCTCCTCAATGGGCCCAGGCGCCGCCGCGGCGGGCGGCCCCGGTTGCCGCTCACCCCCGGTTAGAGCTGTGCCCCGCCTCGTTCTCGCAGTCGCTGCAGTACTCGTGGTCGTTCTCCTCCGGTGGCGGCCGCGGACACCTCGCCGGTGGCCGCCTCGCTGCTGTCTCACTGTCGTCCGCCATCTTGCAACGGAGCCTCGGCGCCTGCCGCACCCCCAAAACAAAGCGCGCCGCGATTGGGTGATGGGCCGTGGGGCATGCCGGGATCGGTAGTCTGTATCGGCGTGCGGAGACCACGCTGCGCCGGGTCCGGGACTATAGCTCCCGTCGGCCTTTGGGGGCGGCCGGGGTGGGGCTCGCTGGCGGCGGGGAGGGCTCATACACACTGGCGCAGCCTTGCGGGACCACCCGGCGTGGTGGAGATCCGAGGCCCAGATCTTCCGTCTCCTGTCCTACGTCGAGTCCGTGGGGTCCTCACCCTCACTCGCTTCCTGCCTAAGGGGGCGGGCCAAATCCAATAAGGGAGGCGCTGGTTGGCTGAGAGGCAGTCCCCTTTTCCCACCAGCCAATAGGCGCACGGGATGCTGCTCCGCGCATGAAGCTCGGCAGAGGCTGAGAGGGTGGCGGCGCTGTCGGCGGTTCTTGCTGCAGCCCTAGCATCCCGTGGCCAGGCCCGGCCTGGGCGGTACCTCCGCTCCTCGGCTGGTTCTGCGCTCCCGCCCCCTGACTCCCAACCGTATCACAGGCCCCAGGCAGGAGCCGCGGCAGCCCCCGGGCTTGGGGAGGCCTAGGGAGTGGTCACGGCCTGGGACCACCGGGAATATGCCACTTTGCAGGCAGCGCCCTGTCCGGTGGAGTCAGCGCATGGAGCTTAATTGAGCACCTGCCGAGGGGCTCGGGAGTGATTCATGGCGGCTGTTCCGGTGGTGGCTTTTCCCCACCGAGGTTACAGTGTGTTATATGGGGTTTCCCTTTAATTGCAGCCTCCTCAAGCCAAGCACCAGGGCTGTGAGTGTGCCAGAGCTGAGGGGAGCAGGAGCAGGGTGGGCTGGAGGTCACGTTCACATTTCAGCTCTCAGCCTCAATGCACTCTGGTTGAGGCTTGAGGCAAAAAATTTACGCTGGAAAACCAGAGGAAGTGGGACAAGGGGGAAGTTTGGACACCTCAGTGTTTAAAAGCTGCTTTTCCGTGCTCTGGGTTACATCTCCCCGGGCACCTCTTTTCACAGTAGGAATAACTCACCAGGTTTTCCAGGTGCCTCTGTGGCTTTCATTTCAGCTTTCCCCACACTTGATTTAGTTGTTGCAGGCCAAAACCACACACACACACAAAAGTAGATTTTGGGGAAAAGTGGTTCTGGCCTCTACCTGTAACATCTGCAGGAACCCTGGTACCTTTGTGTGCAGTTCAAACCTGGGCTTGTTAAATATTTATCCTTCATACCATGCATCTTCTATCTGTACAGGCCCTTTGACAGCACACATTTTCAAGCCCCATTTGGCTGTGGTTTCTAGACTGTACCTTCCAAGTGCTCTTTTACCCCTGCAGTAATTCTCACAGCAGCTGCCTGCCTGCAGAGGTATGCAACAGAGGGACAGAAATAGCAGAGGGTTTTGGGAGCAAGTCCCAACTGAGGCTGGATGCCAGAGTGTGGGGTTACCACGGCTAAAGCCTTGTTTATTCTACATGGGCAGGAGAGGTTTCCATGGAGCCTTCACCCCTGCAAGGCAGCATACCAAAGGCCTGATTCCTGTCCTGCAGTGTTAGCCCTTCCAGGCTGGTGCGGAGGCACGTAAGATCATGCTGGAAAGGGCAGGATTTTAACCCTGCTGTGATAAAGACATGACCCCTCTGTCACGTGAAGCCTAGCATAACACCAGGAAAGGTTCCATATGCTGCCTTCTGCACACTGTGAGCTCCGCAACTGTGCCACCGGCACTGCCCTAGCTCCTCGCTTTCCCACCTAGAAGTCCAAGTGCGCGGAATCTCACACTGCGGACGGCTTCAACTCCTCCCTCTTCGGGTGGCTCCGCCCCCTTCGGGTGACTTCAGCTGCGCTCGGGCCTCTTCGGGCGACTCCGCCCCCTTCGGGGGGCTTCCGCTACGCTCGAGACCCTTCGGGCAATGGCAGCGGTGTGGGGTGGGCAGCCGTGACCTGTTCCTGCCCCGTTCTCCCCCACCATGGACTGGTTCCATTGCAACAAGTGTTTCCGGCAGGAGGGAGCGCGGTTCGCAGTCACTAACTGCGGGCACGTCCTGTGCACAGCGTGCGGGGCAGCAGGTGAGAGACAGGGAATTTCATCACTTTAATGCCTTTAAATGATGCAAAAAGGGGGAATTCCAACACTTTTGCCATATAAAGCAGTGGGAAAGAGAGAATTCCATCACTTTTACCTCATAAAATACTGGGAAAGAGGGAATTGCATCACTTAGCTCATAAAGTGGGGAAAAGGGAATTCCATACCTTTAACACATTAAAATGGTGAAAAAAGGGAATTCCATCACTTTTACCTCATAAAATACTGGGGAAGAGGGAATTCCATTACTTTTAATTCCTAAAGCAATGGAAAAGAAGGAATTCTTTCACCTTAAAGCCTTTAAATAGTGGAAAAAATGGAATTCCTTCACTTTTACCTCATAAAACAGCAAAAAGAAGGGAATTCCTTTACTTTTACCTCATAAAGTAGTGGGAAAGAGGGGATTCCTTCACTTTAATGCCTTTAAATGCTAGAAAAAGAAGGAATCCCCTCACCTTAACACCTTTATTTGATGGAGAGAATTGCTTCCCTTTTACCTCATAAACCAGCAGAAAAGTGGGAATCCCCTTCCTTTAACCCCTTTAAACAGCAGAAAAGCAGGAATTCCTGTATTTTACCACCTTTAACTGATGGAAGGGAATTCCCCCACTTTCACCTTATAAACCACCCTAAAAGTGTCAATCTCTTCCCTTTACCCATTATCCCCACAGGACCGTGCCCCGTGTGCGGCACTGCCTGCCGCCACCTTCCCATCTCCCCGCAGGCAAGTCCCGTACCCCCCTTTAACTCCCTTTAAATGCATTTGAACCCATTTAAAACCCCTTTAACCACTATTAAACCCCGTTAAACCACCTTCTATGGCCATAGATGCGCCTGCAGGAGAAGCTCTTCTTCAAGAGCCCCACTGCCATCGCACTAAAGCACTTGGCGAGCATCACTCAGGTACATATGGGAGAAGAGGAAGGAGAGCTAGGGTGGTGCCATCTTGGGCTCCTCTTTCCTCCTTCCTCCCGCCCCACAGGTCTGGCGCTTCCAGCGCGCTCAGGCGGAGCTGCTGCTGGCCTCGCACCGTGACGCCGCCCGCCGCCATAGGGCGGCCATGGAGGAGGCGAAGAGGGAGCTGGGTGTGAAGGAGAGGTGAGGGAAGGCAGTGGGAGACATCGTAGTGGGAGTTCCTCATGGCGGGCGCCATCTTGAGTGCGGCTCTGCTGTCCCATGTTTGGAGTGGGAATCTGGGGCGGCATTATCGGTGAGGTGCCACTGGCACCAATGAATAGGCACCATCTTGAGTGGGGCTCCTAGGGGCGGCCATGTTGGTGAGGTTAAGGCGCGATTGACACCAATGGATAGCCACCATCGTGGTGGGGTCCTTCCCCCATTGATTCCCCTATAGTGCCGCCCTCTTGCTGTGGGTCTGCCCCACATTTATGGGGCTCTCACCCCCTATTTCCCCCCCCACAGGGAGCTTGAGTCCCTGCGCCAGGAGAACATGGAGCTGCGTCGAGCTCAGGTGACCCCATAACCCCCCCGATATACCCCCATACACCCCCATATAGCCCCTATATACCCCCATATCCCCTTCCCTTATGCATTAACCCCTTTCCTCTCCCCACAGCTCTCCCCCGGCTGGCGAGGGGGCAGCAGGTGACCCCCTCCCTATGGGAGTCTATGGGAGGCTATGGGGCACCTCATTGCCGCTCATCACCCTCCTGTGCCCCACACAGGAGCAGCACTCCCCGGCCCGTGGGGGTCACATCCCCGGCACACACAGGTAAGGCCCCCCCCAGCACCCCCTTACCTGGGGGTTGCCCTGACCCCTAACCCTGCCTGCACCCGCAGTGACCCCGCAGCCCCGGCGGCAGCTCAGCTCCCAGGTGGTCAGGTAACAACAGCACAGACCTATTACATCCCATTATAACCCAATTATAGTCCATTATAACCCAAATGTATACCCCATTGTACCCCATTATAACCCCATTATATCCCATAATAACCCCACTCTGCCCCCATTCTAACCTCTTCCCCCCTACAGCCGCTCAGCCCCGTGGGAGCCCCCTCCCCCCCGCAGCACCCCCGTGTGGCACCTGGGCAGCGCCTACGGGGGTGGGAGCACCACCGCCGGCTCCAGTGTAGGCGAAAGGACCCCGAATCTGGCGGATTTCTACCCAAACTTCCACGGCCCACACAGCCCCTGGCCATAGGATACGCCCCCTTTGTCCAAGCCCCGCCCTTATCTCTATATATGGTACTCATTTCCCTTAACCCCTCCCTTCATCTCCATGTAAAACCCCCTTCCACTAAGCCCCGCCCCTTATCTCCATAAATGGCCCCCTTCCGGTAAGCCCCGCCTCCATCTCCATATGTGGCGTCCCTTCCGCTAGGCCCCGACCCTCATCTCCATAATTCCCCGCTTCCGCTAAGCCCCGCCTCCATCTCCAAATGTGGCTTCCCTTATCTAAGTCCCGCCCCTCATGTCCATAATGGCCCCCCCTTCCGCTAAGCCCCGCCACCTTTTCCGTATTTAGCCCAGCCCCTCTTTACTCACCGAGTCATGCCCTCACCCATCATGGCAGCCACGTTGCCGTGGTAACGGCCGCACCGCGCCTCCATTTTGCGCTCCAAGATGGCGCTGGCGGTCGTGGTGCGGGCCGGGGCCCCGCTCCCGTCCCGTTCCCTCCTCCCGGGGCTCACAGCGCCCCGGGACCCGGCCAGGCGCTACCCCCTCGACATCGCCGCCCCCTCCTCCGGAAGCTGTCGCCGCTGCTGCCAGGGCCCGGCACCTACCTCCTGCATAGCACCACCACCCTGACCTTCAAGGTACGCACTCTAGGGGAGTCATAGAGACATATAGGGACCGATAGGGAGACATTGGGGGTGCTGGGACCTATAGAGAAAACATAGAATCTCCGTAGGGGCAAAATGGGGGGAGGTGGGGGGGGTGGGTATGCACATAGAGACCACATAGGGGCCTATAAAGAGCTATTTTGGGGGAGCTGAGACCTATAAAGAGCCATGGTGGGGGGGGCTGGGACACACAGAGACCCTATAGACCTCCATAACCCACCGTAGACACCCCATAGTTCCCCGTATCTCCCCATAACCCTCCATAGGCACCCATAAGCCCCCCTTTTTACCCAATAACCTCCCGAAAGACCCCCACAGACATCCCATATCCTCCCGTGTCCTGTCATATTTCCCCATAGGCCCCCATAGAACCCCATAACGGGTCTTCAGACTCCCATCTAGGGATTGCAGACCCCCATAGACCCCCATATCTCCCCTAAATCCCCCATAGATCCCCAGAGACCCCATAATGGGTCTTCAGACCCCCAAATCCCTCCATATCACCCCATAAACATCCTATATCCCCCAGCTAGACTTCATAGAACCCCATTTAGGGACTCCAGACCTCCATATCCCCCCATAGGCACCCTATATCCCTCCCATATCCCCCCCATATCCTCTCATATTTCCCCCTAGAACCCCTTGTAACAGACTCCAGACCCCCATATCCTCCCAAAGAACCCCATAATGGGACTCCAGACCTCTATATACCCCCCATAAACCCCCATATAACCCCATATCCCCTGATGTCTCCCCACATTCCCTCTTAGAACCCCATGTAGGGATTACAGACCCCCATGGACACCCCATATCCCCCCCGTAGAACCCCATAAAGCGTCTCAAGACCACCATAGAACCTCATGTAGGGACTGCAGATCTCCATGTCCTCCCATATTTCCCCACAGACCCCCATAAAGGGTTTCTGGACCACCACAGACCCCCATTTAGGGACTCCAGACCCCCATATCCTCCCTAATCCCTCCCTAGAGCTCCATGTAGGGACTCCTGCCCCCCATATCCCCCTATCTAACCCCACTGTCCCCATTCCCCTGCAGCTGCACCACAGCATGGTGCATGTGGTTGACTCCTGCGCCATGGCTGGCTCTTATGTGGTGTTGCAGTCAGTGCAGAAGGTGCTGGAGGTGAGCGCACGGGTGCTTGGCACCCTCGCGGGCAGCATCACCAACTGCGCCTTCTGGCAGCATGTGCTGGTGCAGCAGTGCTGCGTGTAATGCCTGAGCATGCCTTGGTGGCCACCACCACCAAGCTGCTTGCCAGCATGGTGTACCACTACAAGGGCATGGGGCTCAGCATGGGCAGCATGATCTGCGTTTGGGACAAGAGGGGGCCTGTTGAGTGTGGGTTGTTGGGGGGTGGTGGACACCATGGTGTTGGTGATTGTGGGGCCAAAGACTTGGGTAGTAAAGCTTATGGCACTAGGCGTTATGATTAGGGGGTGATGAACATCATGGGGCTGGAGTTACGGGGCTCATGGTCAAGGTTGGGAGGTGGTGGACATCATGGGGTTGATGGTTATGGGGTGAGGTTCATGGTTATGGGGTTAAGGACTTGAGTATTGAAGTGTATGGGGCTGGGGGTAATGGAGACAATGGGGTTGGAATTATGGGGCTCATGGGCATGGTTAGGGGGTGATGGACATAGTGTGGGTGGTGGTTATGGGGGGGTGGAGGACTTGGGTATTGAGTCTATATAGAGATGGGGCTTATGGTTATGGGGTGATGGACATTGTGGGGTTGGAGTTACGGGGCTCATAGTCAAGGTTAGGGGGTGGTGAACATCATGGGGTTGATGGTTATGGGGTTAAGGACTTGAGTATCGAGGCACATGAGGCTGGAGGTTATGGTTATGGGGTGAGGGCCATCATGGGAGGAGTGGTTATGGGGGTCGTGGTTATGGGGGTCATGTTTAGGGGGGTGATGGATACCATAGGGTAGATGGTCATGGAGTGGGGTTGATGGTTATGGGGTCAAGGACTTGGATATTGAGTTATATGGGGCTGGCAGCCATGGTTATGGATCTCTGTTCCCTATGGGGCTGGTACCCACAGCCCCAGTGGCCATCTTGGTCCCCCATTGACCCCATTGCCCCCCATTACATCCTAGGCCTCTACAACGTGTACCCGCGTCCTGGGCACCACCTTTTCCATGGGTGAAAACGGCCGTTTTGGAGCTAAAACCGGTCATTTTGGGACTAAAAACGTCCGTTTGTGGGCTGAAAACGGTGTCGGTGCCCAATGCATAGTGCTTGCTAAAGGCGTCATTGGGCTCCAGAGTGAACAGCGCCGGGGGGCGTGGGGGCGTGGGGCGGAACGGAACGGGGAGCACGTACGTGACGCATGGCGCGATTCAAGCGCGTGGAAGCGAGTGCTGATTGGTTGGGGGGGGAAGAGCCACACTGGGATTGGTGGAGAGGGGAGGGAGGGGTGGGGCTTGGAGCCGGCGGGAGCGCGGCGGTGAGGAGGGGAGCGGGACTTAAAGGGGCTTCAATGGAGGCCAAAGCTGAGCTATGGGGGGCTCTGTGGGGGCTTAATTAGGGTCTCTGGGGGGTAAATGGGGTTTAGGGGCAGTAAATGGCGTCTGTGGGGGTTAAATGGTGTCTATGGGGGATCTATGGGGGTTAGAAGGGGTCTGGGGGGCCTATAGGGGGTTTGGGAAGTCTGGAGGGGGTTAAATGGGGTCTATAGGGTGTAAAGGGGGTCTGGGGGAGTCTGGGGGGGGTTAAAAGGGGTCTGGGGGGGTTAAATGCGTTCTATGAGGGGTTATAGGTTTTGGTTACCCCCGTAGACCCCCTTTAACCCTCCCCCCCCCCGACCCTTTGTGGAGGGTTAAAGGGGGTCTGGGGGGACCTCTAGGGGGTCAAATGGGGTCTATGCGGGGTTAAAGGGGGTCTGGGGGGACCTATAAGGGTTTAAGTGGGGTCTGTGGGGGGCTAAAGGGGGTATATGGAAGGTTAAATGGGTTTTGGGCAGGTCTGTAGGCGGTTAAAGAGGGTCTGTTGTGGTCTGTAATGGGACTAGACCCTTTGGGGTACCCCTGGGCTGTCCCACTTCCCACTGGGGAGGGTCACCTAGCACATATGTGCTTGTCCCCCCCTATACCAGTACATAAGGGGGTCCTGATGGAGCTGGACCCTGCTGAGCTGCTGCCAGGTACACTGCGTACTATTAATACCCATGAATAGCCATTAATAAGCGTTAATGAGGGTATTAATTACTTAACGCCTCCCTAATAGGGGAGGAGGAGCCCCACCTGCCCCTCTTCGGGCTCCACACCCCCGCCGAGGGACTTGGTTTGGCCTCGCTGCAGGGGCTGTGTGTGGCGCTGGGGCCGGACGGGCTCGCTGCGGGCCTGCGGGAGGAGCTGCGGCAGGTAACGGGGGATAGGTGGTGTCAGTTTGGGGTATTTTGGATCATTTTGGGGGAGTTGAGGGGGGGTTCAGTGGGTTTTGGGGATATTTTGGAGTGATTTTGGGTCGGTCATTTGGGGTGATTTAGGGTCATTTTGGGTTTTACCTCATCCGGGGATTTGAGGGGGGTGGGTTTTGGGGAGGGTTAGAGTGATTTAGGAGTGCTTTAGGGGGAGCTTTGGTCAGTTTGGGTTCATATAGGGTCGTTTTGGCGTGATTTAGTTTATTTGGGGGGTTTGGTGGTGATTAAGAGCGGGGTTGATAGCGGTTTTGGGATGGTTTTGGGGTGATTTAGGGGTATTTTGTACTATTGGTCTACTTTGGGCCATTTTAGTCTATTTTGGTCCAATTTTGGGCTATTTCAGGCCATTTTGGTCCAAATTTGGACTATTTTGGGACTATTTTGGGGTGGTTTTGGGGTATTTCGGGGCTGTTTCGGGGTGTTTCAGGTACCGGTGCGCCCCCTGCAGGCGAAGGCGACGCTGGCGCTTCACAGAAGGACGTGGCTGCACTGGGACGGGCTCTGGAGGGCGCTGCAGGAGCTGCTGTGGGACCCACGCGGGCTCGAGCCCCCCGTGAGCCAGGGGGTGATCCACACATGGGGGGCAATGAGGGATATGGAGGGACCCACATACACATGGGGGGTGCCTAAAGGGGGTTTTGGGGTGAATTGGTGTGGATTAGGGGGCTTTGGGATGATTTTGGGGTAATTTGGGTGATTTGCAGACCCGCCGGGAACTGGAGCTGCGCTGTGGGGTGCAGGGCATGGCCCAGGCACTGCCCCCAATGGAGGTGAGAGCCCCAAATGACCCATAACTGTCCCAGATCACCTGAAAATCCCGTTTACCCCATTGCACGCCATGGCCCCCTTTTTTGTCCGTAGGCACCCCCTGCCCCCCTGCTTTCCCTGCTGGAACTCCGCCTGGCTGCCAAGGTCCTGGACCTCTCCATTTACCACGCGGGGGAGGCCGCGCCGGAGCTGCCATTGGCGGAGGCGGCGCCGACATTGGCTGAGGAGCGGGATCCCCCCCGTGCGGTGCTGCGCCTTGGTGCGGCCCTAAGGGAGGAGGCGCAGCGGCTGCAGCGCGCCCGGTGGCGACGCCAGCACCTGCAGGGGGCGCTGCAGAGCCAGCGCAGGCGCTATCAAGAGGTAAAGCAGGAGGGGGGGAATAGGGGGGTTCTGTGGGGTCTGTAATGGGGGTAAATGGGGTCTATGGTAGTAAATGAGGTTAAATGAGGTCGGTGGGGGTTCAGTGGGGTTTGGGAGGGGTTAAATTAGGTTCATGGGGGTTAAATGGGATCTCTGGGGGTTTGTGGGGTCTATGAGAAGCTTGCTGGGGTCTGTGGGAGTGAAAGAGGGTTTGGAGGGGTCTATGGGGGTTAAATGGGGTCTATGGGGGGTTAAGTGGGGTTTGGGGGGATCTATGAGAAGTTCAATGGGGGTTA